TATAAATTTGAATTTGTATTTGATTTGATTTTCAAATCAAATATTCAAATGTCAAATCGAATTGCGGAACCCTAATATTTATACCAGTTTTTTTGTTTGTTTGGTTATTTTTTTTTTTTTTTGGATTTTTTTGGGGTTTTTATTTTTTTTTTTATAAAGTAATATAATAATAATTAAATAAAGTATTGTGTAATAAAATGACGAGTTACCAAAATTTTCAAAAGCAATTACTAGTAATCAGAATATAAATAATAAAAAATTCATAAACTTATTAATGAAATATAAGCATTCGAAGTATTACGTATCATAAAACCTTTGAAGTATTACATATCATAAAATGTCATAATATTACGCATCATAAAACTATCGTAATACTACACATCGTAAAACTATCATAATACTACGCATTGCAAAACTGTCATAATACTATGCAACGTAAAAATATCGAAGTCCTACGTATCATAAAGCTTCAAAGTATTACGCATACATAAATTTTTCGATGACCTTGTAACCTTACGTAATATTATGGAACATAAGGATTATATAATACTTTGCTTTATTAAATTTACTGATGATATTAGGATCAAAAAATATTTAAATTCAAGATAATTTTTTTCTATAATTACTTTTTTGAAATTTAATTTTATTTAATAATTATATTGTTTTATTAGATTCACAAATTATATAATGAATAGATATCTAAGGAAGTTTATGAACTTACTCCTACTGATAAAATTAAAAGGTATACTTATAATAAAGTAGCATAATAGGTTAAAGTTACTTAGATAGCATTGATGTTAAAAAAAATCAAAAAATTTTCAAATGTTATGGTATTTCTGTAGCAAAAGTTGACACAAAAGATGATTTTATTTTCGATTATAATTTTTAAATGATAAAAATAATAATTCAGGTGATAATAAGGTATTTGAAAATACTATATATAATGATTTTATTGCTGATTATAATAAGTTTTATAATTAATTAACATTAATTTAGATAATGTAATTGTTTGTTAAAAAAAATAACTTGCATAATAAAAACTATTTTTTATATTTAATAAATTTTTATTATATTTTATATTAATAAAAATTTAAAAATTTATATATTTATTAATATTGACATATAGTATTAGTATATTAATATCAGTTTATAATACCCAGATATTTTGCATAGTGATCTAATATTTGTGATATATAGTATTTGAAGTACTTTATATTCTAAGTTACTTCAGAAAGTGCATTATATATAGAAGGTATAAATAAAGGATGAAACAAAAAAAAAAATTAATAAACAGCCAAAATTATATTAAAATATAATGAAAAGTATGACAAAATCCTGAAATTTGAAATTAGCTAAAACTATATTAAAAATATTATAAGAGATATGATGAAATTATTTTGAGGAAGCCTTCAAATGCTATTTTTTAACTAATAATCATTAAAATAGTTAATATATTTTAACATTAAATTTGAATCTATTCAATTATTTTTTAGAACTAAACTAAAATATAAGGAGAAATTTATTTTTTAAGTATCTTTAAAGGTATAAATAAAAGGTAATTTAGACTTATTTAATATATTGTTTGATAAATAAGATTTAAATCAAATATAGATTATTGAAAAAATTTTAGAATTAATAATAAAAAATAAAGAAATATCTGTAATATATAACAATTTTTATTTATTGATTTACAGAATATGAGGTTTGTTTAAGTTTAACAACTTGTTTTATCTTATGACAAGTAATTTTATTAGAAACTTTTAGCATTTTTTTATTATATTAAACTAAAATAATATAACTTACATATATGGAAGATTTGCTAGGAAAATATGATTCTGATTATTTTTTTATTAAAATTTTAATTTTTATTGTATTTTAATCTAACATTATCAAAAATTAAAATGCAATAAAATTTAAAATTTTAATAAAAAATGCTCAGAATCCCATTTTCTTAGCAAACCTTCTATTTATTTATTAGATAATAATAATAGATAATGTGATTATACAATAATTTACATATTGATTCATTTTCTAAAGGCTTTAAACATCACGCTATTCTTATCAACAAATAATTAATACCTATTAGTTTATTTATTTTAAACAATTTCTGATTTATTACAGATGTAAGAAATTTCTCTAATTAGTAATAGCAAATTATAATATCATTTGACTTAAATTATACTAACAATAAGATTATTTGAGCTTATTTAAGATTATTTCAAGATTATTTCAAATTTATTTACTAATACTGCCTCTAATAGTGGTTAAATTTTCTATTTCCTAATCAAAATAGATATGCATTAACAGTAGTATTGCTATTCAAAAGTAAAATTTCATAGTTTAAATTTATTGAAGCTAGTTTAATTAATAGCTGAAACTACTGAAACTAGTTTTGTTTAACTAAAACTAATTTTAATAGTTTAGAATAGTAAACTTTAGCTAATAATAATCTCAAAAAGGAGTTATTTATAATGGATAATATCTATCAAAATCTTTCTATCAATATGTCTAAAATCTTGAATAATATCAAATCTCAAAACTTTGTATTCAGGTATAACAAAATGTTTTTTCTTGAAAATATAACATAATAATTATTAAAGAGCTATACTTAAAGTGTAACATAATAAATATTGAAGAGCTGTATACTATAATTGATAGTATTTAAAGCATTTAACTGAGATTTTAAAGCTATATATTCTTTTTTTATTTTTGAATTACCCAAAAATAAGCAAAATTATATCAAATATGTTGCTTATTTTCGGATATATGGTAAGTATAAATACTTAAACAATTATTTTAAAATATGCTAAAAATTAAATTTGCATTTAAACATATCAGATGTTCATAAACTTAATATATTATTTGTAATTATTTAGAAGCTAAATACTTATTAATAAAATATCTGATGTTAAATTGAAAAATATAAATAATTAAAAACAAAATCCTGATTCTCAAGAAAATTAACTTCAATCCGTTAGTACCAAACACATAATTCTTTGAATCCTTCAAAACCACCAAAGATTGTTTCTCATGTAAACCTTTGATCTTTTCCATTCTGGTATATGTTATTCCTAAACTAATCAAAGTGGGGTTAAGTAATTCCGTAATCAATTATAAAATCCATAAATAGTTAGTATATTACCCACATATACAAAAGTAAAGTAATTTATAGTTGATCTTTTCTTATTCGTAGTTTGTGGTTTCGTATTAGATTAATTTTTCGATCCCAGTATTTACCATCCTCTGTACAAAAAAAAATCTGCTGTGCTAACGCTTGTATATATCATATTTCCATTCTTTTTTATAACTAAATGTTGTAATACTAATAAATTGCATTTACAAGAAACATCTTTTTGATTACAATATTTGTTATTTATGAAAAAAAAAAAATGGTTAAAATAAATACAAATAGTAATTATATTGGTGTGAATATTATGAGATGAATACTAGTTGTGTACAACATTGCAATTTATATGTACAACTTAAGTTACGAAACGAAATTTTGTTGCAACTTTAATATGATTTTTTTTTTTTAATGGCTTATGTTTTAGACAAGTTGAATCATCTGCTAAACTTGTAATCATTAAAATCAACTAAAATGCAAAGAAAAAAAAACATAAACCTATCTTTGAAGACATTTTTCCCTTTTTTCTTTTTTTTGGTTTTTTAGAAAATAAGATAAAGAAAAGGATTTTTTTTTAAGAAAATAATAATTGATGATTTAAAAATAAAACTTTCCACAGTCACTTATAAGCAAATAAGTGATGTTTGATTTTGGGTGAATGAAAAGAAAGAAAAGCAAAGAAAAATACAAATATTCATTTTTTTACTACAAGCAAATATAAAAATATTTAATTACAATCAATCAATCACGCTTTATGTAAGAAGCCCATTGACGATATCAAAGGAGGAAAAAAGGTAATTCATAAAAAAATAATAATTTTCAATCGCCAATCCCATAATTGACAAAACTTTCTCTCAATCGATTATGAACACCATCCTCTCGCAACGAAGGAGCATCATTCTACTTAATAATATGAAAAGATAATAACTCGAGAGTTTAGATTGATTCACTGAAAATAAATTTAAAGTACAATTTAATTGTTTTTAATAAATACCGTTGCTTTTGAAGAAGAATTGGCTTCATCAGGTAAAAGTAAATTTGACAAAGACATGGCACTAGAACGATTAGCAGCCGAAACATCGACAACGTTTGAATTTGAATCAACTAAATAGTTATTTCTAGCTTGATTAGATAAAATAAATAAATGAGCAGCCGCCCAAACTACTTCTGGATCAACTTTTGCTTGTGCTAATGCGCTTTCTACCAATGCATTAATTTCAAGGGGATAATAACTTCCTGCCAGCTGTTGTAGTTGCTGCTGTTGTTGTTGTTGTTGTTGAGTAACTACTGTTGCTTCTTTATCAAGTTGTTGCTGCTGTTCTTGTCTCTTTTGTTCCTGAGAAGTTATTGTTGACGTTGAAATACGTGAACTTGAATTGTTAATAGAATATACTGTCGAACTTCGAGAAGTTGGTAAATTTTTTTGTGGCTCGTCAATATCCATACTATCATAAGCTTCTTTTGTTGTTTCGTTACGAATAGTTTGTTGTCGTGAAGGTGACATTTTTTTTAATATATTTAATAATGGAGTGAAAATCCTAAATAAAAACTACTTTTAACAAAATCGGGTAAAAAAAAATATAAAATAAAAATAAAAACAATATTGAGCCGTGAGAGATTATTTTTCTCTAACCTAAAAAACAAAACAAAAAAGAGAGCAAAGAAATTAATTTGCTACTGTTCTCAGTTCAAAAAAGAAACGATCATTTTTATATGCAATCAAATTGAGACGTATGTCGTCAGTAACAACTAAAAAAAGTTGAATCCTGTAGAAATTCATTCAACTGTTTCAACGGGATCTTCAATACACTTGTGTTACGTAATACTTAAGTAAATAATTGACTCAATCTGAAATGAGATTTAGAATATGGAACAAATTATCTAATCGTATTGCCTTTTTTCTATATTAATTAAACATACATAATTTTCAAAAAGTCTAAGCAATTTTTTTCTGTAAGAAGATTTATTAGTATAATGCTTTGTCGATTTTTTTTTTCATTATCTACGCTATCATCCGATCGAAACATTCGGCTCTTTATTATCATTATTATCAACTAAATCAATGCTAGCAACTTGGACAAAAAAAGGCCTGTCCTCCTAATATCTACAAAAATGAGAATTGACTATTGTTCTATTCTTCGCACGTGGATGTTGTGCCAAAAGTTTCACTGCATATAAAATAATATTTTGTGGGGGGACAAATTTATCCTAATTGCTTAACCTTTGTGATTCTTAATATCCAATCGTATGATTGTTAAAATGTCCGGATTTACGGAATTAATGGTAATTCGTTAAAATAAAATATGAATAATAGTGAAAGTTTACATAGCATATATACATATTATTTAAAAAAGAGTATAAAGATATCATAATATTAACCTTGACACTTCTCTATAAGAGATGCATTTATAGAGTATGATATCATACTTAGTTTTTTAACTTATATCATAGTAAATAATTATAAAAAAAGTAATATTTAAAAAGTAATTTAATATTAAAAATATGTATTTTATATTATATTTATTAAAAAATAAGCAAATAAATTTAAATTTAAATTTTATATTATTTATTAATAAAGTATATATAAATATTTTATCAATATTATTAATTAGAATTTTAATATTATTATTTCTTTTATTTATATTTATTATTTAAAAATATTTATAAAATCTGATATTACTTAAGAATATATCTATTTTTTAAAAAAAATAAGAATATTTTTATTTTATTATATTAAAGAATATATTAAGAAAATATTAGATAAATTTTTACATATATTATTATATTATATAATTATATTAAAATTATTTATAAACTTTCATTAAATTACTTATTATACAACTAACCCTCTCCAAATATATTATCTATAAATGCATATCTTTTTTAAATATATATTTTAGTCTAGTTCTAAGAAAAAGACTTAAAAATAAATGTAATCTTTATATTTTATATATAATAATTTTCTGATCTTTTAATATTACAAATTTATTTTCTAAATACATATCATATAATTATATATGATAAAAAATTAGTAAATTTCTAAATTTAGTTTAATGCTAATAGTATAATTATTATCTATTCAATTTCTAAATCTATTAAATCATTTAGAAATAGAAATTATAATCATTTTAAAAATTAAATCGAAAATCAAATTGACAAAAATCAATTTTTAAAACAATTAATCAGAAATTAAAAATAGTTTTGAAAATAAAAAATTAGCAAAAATGATGTTAATTTTTTTAATTTTTTAAGTATAGAACAATTGTAATAATTTATAAATACAATTATAATCTTCATTTATAATATTCATTTATTAGAAAATAAAAGTTATATTTAAAACAAATTAATCAAATAAATCATATTTGACATATAAAATAAAAATAAAATTTTCCTTCTTTTTATTGCAAAAGTTTTATATATAAAAATAATAATAAATATCTTATTTTTAATCAATAATTATAATAGTTACATAATAATATATTTATTTTTTATATATTAAAATTATATTATTTAATATATTTTGAATTAAGTTAGTTTAATCTAATTTGATCTGAGAAATTCAAGTTATTGATAAATTTTAATTAATATATTGGATTAAACTTGTAATCTGATCTAATAAAATTTAAATCAATAATCAAATCAAATCAATTATATTATGAATTTAAAAATCATAAAAAAAAAAATGAATTTAAATTCTATTTTGTTATTTTTATTTAATTTTATCTTACTTTTTTATTTTTAATAAAGTTATTTATTTAAAGTTTATAAATAACTTATAATTAAATTATCATCAAAAAGATTAATTTTTAAAAAATTAACAAATATTTTTTTTAATTGTATTAACTAATAAATTATTCTATATTTTATATATTCTGTTACTTTAAAATATAATTTAAGTATCTATTTAAAGAAAGCCATCTTAAGTAAAATTATTTAACAGGTGAAAAACTTTATAATAAATTATTTGTTTTCTTTTATTATATCTTTATATAGTAATTCAAAAACTTTCTCATAATATTTATTAAATATTTTTCTAATTGATTATTATATTTCTTCTTATCTTATATTAAATAATTAAAATAAAAATTAATTTTAATAATATTTTATAAGGTTTAAAAATATATAGATATAAATTTTTATATTAATAATTATAGAATTATAAATATTTTTAATAATTTTATTAATAATAATCTGATTTGTCTGATTTGTAAACTTGTAAACTTATATTATTATTACAATTTTAAATTTTATAATTAATATATAATAGGAATTTGAACACTAAAAAATTATGTTATTTTATAATAATTATTTTTATAAATTTTATAAATTTTATTTAAAATGATAAATATAAAAATGAATTAATGCTATTTTATTTTTTTTGAAAAATTTTAAAATAAAGTTAATAATTTGTTTAATTATATTTAATTATATTAATTTTATAATAAATATTTATTTAAAATAAAAATTATTAACTTATTAAATAGAAAATATTATTTTTGTTAATTAGATCAAATCAGATTAAATAAATTAATAAAATTTATTTAATAAAATTATATATACTATATAGAGTAGCATTTAAAAAAATGCATTACTTTATATTAAATTTATAGTAAAAATTACAGTAATTAGTAAAATCCATTTATATTTGAATCTCAAAGAATATTTTACAATAATTGTTTTGATTAATTCATAGCATAGACTTAAATAAATTATCTAATTTGTAAAATTATAAATTTTTAACTTTTTATTTAGAAAGACTATAATAAAATATGATTTCTTAATGATTTTAAACTTGTATTTCAAAAATTATAAAGAACAAATTAGTAGTTATAAAGGAATCAACTTTTAAATCACAAAAATCATCAAAAATCAATATTATATATATATAAAACGTTGATTTTTTATGATTTTTGTGATTTTTAAAAGCCAATTCTTTTAAAATTACTAAATTGCAATTCTTTACAATTTTTGAAATACAGGTTTAATATCACTAATATTACTAAGAAAATTAAATTATAGCATTTGTTTTATAATACAATAATAATTATGAAAAAAGTGTAGTATAAGATTAAACAATCTAATCTTCTTTTTAACAAATTCTTCTCATCAAATTTGTCCTATTAATAAATATATAATAATTTAATTATCTATATAATAATTTTTTTCTCTCCTGAATATCTCAAATTTTATCAAATTAAAAAAAAACATATAATTAATAATATAAATTTATTAATCTAAACTTCAAACTATATATTTTCAAAATTAGATAATTAGATATTTATTCAATTAAAATTACTTTACTTATTAAAATTTCTAATCAACTTTTTAATTTATTATTTTTAATTATATATTTATAAATAAATACATTAAAAATGTTTTAATTTTCATTATACTGACATATATTTTTTTAATAAATATGTAATATTGTATATTATTAATTTATTGTAGAATAAAATATTTCTTTTTTTTCTTTTATCACGTTTTTAAAAAATTTCTTTTGATAAAAAAAGTTTTTTCATAAAACTACAAATATAAAAATATATTTATTTGTATTAATATAAAGAAACAGAAAATTAATAGTAAAAGAATCTGCAACTAATATTAAACTTAATTCATATTGGCATAAATTTATAAGATGCTCTTTTCATATGCTAATATTTATTTAACAATTATTAGAATATCAAAAAAATCAAACTTATAATATATATATTATAAAGTATTATATTACAAAAAGGATGATATCAGTAGTGAAAAATTACATTAACATATGGGGTGAATGCTGGAAAAAAGGACCAAATTGATAAAAAAATTTTTTTTTGAAATAATAAATGATTTGAATCAGATGATCAAATCTACATCTATTTTACTTAGGAACTTTTTTTTAAAAAAAAATCAATTTGGTCTATTTTCTCAATACTCACCTCATATAGATTTAGTTCAAAATTAATAATATAATCATGAACTTTAGAGCCAAAATAAAAATCATTCAAGAGAAAATAATCCAACTTTATAAAATTTGTAAAATTATTTAAATATTTAAAATAAGTGAATAGTCAGATATAAATAATATATGATAATTCTATTCTTATATAAAATGAAATTAATCATATAAAAGTTAAAGATTTACCAATATGTAAAAATGTTAAATTAAAATATTAGTTAATAGTAAATACTTTGAATATGCTTGAAAAATTTAAATCAATATACTTTAATGAATATCGGTTTACTAACCTTTTAAAAAAACTAGCTTTTTTAAAAGAAATGAGTTTGTCTTTATCAACAACTTTCTACAATCACACCTCGATATAACGAAGTTGCCGATCCGGCCGATCAGGACTTCGTTATAAGAATCTTTGTTATAGTATTAACGAATTATTCGTTATAGTAGATGATTACTGATTTTATTACACAAATATAATTTTACTATGATATAATTTTTCTATAAATATTTTGTAAATTCTAGTCATTTTATTTTAACATGCAATCTGTTAATCATTGTATGAC